CCTGTCTGACAATGTCACCTCTTGATACAACCTCTATAAGTAATTACTGAAATTCATCTGAGCATCCTTCCTGTAAGCTCTTGTGTTCTTTTACAGCTTTAGAGGGGTGTGACAATGCTAAAGGGCCTTTAGGTTCCTAAGTGGCTGGAGAAGACAAAAGCTTAGGATAAAAGGACATAAGAGGGATCGAGAAGTCAGCCTCAAAGTAAACAACAACGACAAAGAAGGCAGCCTCCATGCGCCTTGGTTTCTCCACCAATGAGAACCCTGAGCCCCCTCCCCATCTAGCTCCCTGGCCCCATGGAACCTAAACAATGCCTGCTCAGGTGGTCCAGAGATATATTCCCAGAGCTGGCAAGTGAGCATTCAGCCAAACTGTCATCCAGTACCATCATCATGCCCTCCCTTCACACCCCAGAAGACCATTATCCGACCGTCCTAAAACGCAGAGAATTTAATGATCACGAACTGTTACCTCTAACACAGATATTTGAACTTTATCTCTCCAAAACCTTGCAGCCTTTCTGATCAGAGGAAACCTCTGAGGCCCCGCAGGAGCAGAAAGGAAAGAGAAAAGTCACATTCAGGACCATCCTCCAGGATGCTCTCGCAGGCCAGCCTCGTGAGGCCGCGTTTCCCACAGGGACGTTCCTCCTCCTTCCCGTCCACACAAGGATGCCAGAATTCTCAGGCCTCCTGGGCAGTCCTCAGTAAACCAGCTGAAAGATGTCCTCGGGCTGTCAGGGGTTCTCACCATTCTCTGCCCATAGCTTTTATGTTGCCAATGACAATGCCCATGGATTTTATGCCAAAATGAGGATGCTTTAAATTAGAATTATTCCTTTCTAGCAACCCTCCCAAACCAACATAAAATATTTAATGCTCCGCCTTGCTTTGTTTAAACCGATCTTGTGGCTGGAAATGTTGGCTGCTGTGCACCTTAGTGTTCCGTCACAGAGAACGCAAAAGCCAAAGAAACTTTTATTCATAGGAGCTGCAGCTTTTTATGTCTTTAGTTCATCCCCACCAGAGACATCATTTATTGAAGACCATATGTGTGCGTACCCACACACATACACACCTGTGTATATGTGCATGTGTGCATGCTTTACCTATGTTAATCCATTCATTTAATCAGCAAGCATTCATTGAGCACCTAGTGTCGCACATCTAATTAGGTATTAGAGATAAAATGGTATGTTAAGTCCAAGGTCACAACTCTGTGACAACCTGTGGGAAAGGCAGATGATCAAATAAGTAATGGCTATGCAATGTGGTAAATGCAGGTTATTAAAAGTATCTGAGGCAGTGACCGTGTGTCAGATGTTTGTAGCCACTGAGTCTAATTCTCACCACATCCTGCAGATGAGTGTGCTGTGGCTGGACCACAGCATCAGCCTCCATCACCATTTACATCTTAAATTCCCATCCTGGTCTCAAGATGGCACCTGCCAACCTGCTTGACTCATTCAGGCATCAATCAAATTTTGCCCGGTATTATGCAGCACACACACACACCCTGGGGAGCAAAGACCACCTGGAAGAACTGTCAAGCTGGCTACAAGGACAGGGCAGGGCACAGGGAAGTCTATGGTCACAGGCCAAAGGGGTATTTCAGAAAGCAAGTCATTGGGCTCCTAAAAAAGGAGAGAGCATCGCGGGGTCATTTATTCAGGAGAGGGGACCCAGGACTTCAGATCATGTGAGGTCAGACAGCAGAAGAGGGAAGAAGGCCAAGCCCTCAGGGTAGGTGAGGTGCCCAGAAAGCTCACAGGTTAGGCTGAACCACAGCCAAGGGTGTAACCAGAGCCCAATGGTGGGACAAGCCAGCCTGCAGCTGCCCCAAGTGCCAATTGATAAGAGAACTGAAGGCACCTGGGCATTAAAACGACCCAAGTATAACAGCAGACGGGGAAATCCGCATTTGTAAGAATTCCTCCCATACCCCACTACCTCCTGGGATGCAGGGTGAGACCCCAAAGGGCCTCCTGGAGTCAATACAGAAGGTCGCCAAGCAGCCTTCTGAAGGGGATGTCCATTTGCTGCAGGAACTCGTTTCCACTCGGAAGGTGTGCAAGTTCAGGGCCAGAGAGAGGTGCATTATTTAGAATCGGAGTGGAGAGGCCCAGTGCTGGCAGCAATGGGGCTCCCCATGACCCTTTCCCAGAGGGGCTCCCTTCCCCAAACTGGTAAGCAGATATTGAAAAGATTATTGAATTTCAGGCCGAGTTATTAGCCAGCCTGGAAACCCAGGTGTTTCGGCCAGTCCTGCGGATGATGTCTATATTTGTTTAACTCTTCACTGCTGATAAGATGCTTTTACATGTGTTAGATGACCTGATTTTCACAGCAGCCATGAGATAATTGCTAGGCCTCTCCTTTTTTAGATGGAGGTCCTGAGGGTCAGAGAGGTAAGTGACCTGTTCCAGGTAATAAAGCTAGCAAGTGGCAGAGCTGATTCTGGATCAGGATATCGGTCCAGTGATCTATTAGCTGTATCACTACTGCAATAAGCAGACTTTATCAAGTTCTTTAGAGTTCAAAGCCAACTTTTATAGCAGTCTGGGGCAGTACAAACAGACACACACTAACACACATAAACAGACTGACAGACACACACACACACCCATACTCATCCTCCAACATACATACTCTCCGTTTTCCCAAAAGTAAAAATGACAATAATATTCTACTTATTATTGAATAATAATAATAGTTAAAAATAATAATAAATATTATTTAAAAATTTATTTTCCCTCCTCTAGCCGTGAACCTTGTCTCAGTACATCTCTAAGACGAGTAGCTATTATTTAGATGGCTGATATTATAGTATGTAAAGTCTTAAATACTAGCTGTTGGTCTGCGTATAACTCGCTGCTTAGAACAACCTTGCTTTTGTGTGAAATATCGGTCCATTTCCATTTTCTGCCACTAAAACTCCTATCTCCACTCCCAATCTTCTCTCAGAAACACACGAGGCAGCATCTTTCCTACTGGTCTGTCCTACTGTCAAAAAACAACCCCACCCATTTTTAAGCAAAAAAGAAAGTAAAAACAACAACAACCACTTAACCCATTTTTTAAGCAAAACTCAAAGCTTTAACAGCTAGAAGGGGCACATATCCTTTCTTTTGAAAAAAAATCCCCAATTCTCAGTATTTCAGAGCCCTTCTTTCAAAGACAGAGGCCACAGAAATTAAATTATTCAATAAACAACTTGTCAATTATCCTTGCACAGTGGGGAGACAGTTATACACAGAAATGCAGACGGAGCCAAAATCAAAGCCAAGCGTCAGTGACAAACCCGCAAACCACCCTCTGGCACGTTGGCCGAGGGCTCGTCCTCACACCCACAAAATAAAGATCACAGACTCCCCCGCCAGCCACAGGGAGGCCTCGTTTTTTTGTTTTTGTTTTTTCTTTCTTATAACACATAACTCTAACTTAATTATCCCGTTGGTGTGAGTGGTAGCTTTTAGCAAAAAATCTTAATGAAAAGAAGGTCAATACACTCAATCCATACAGCAATCATCTCACCTGATTTTAATCATCTCCCTAGAAGAGAATTTAGATAATCAAGCCACGCTACACAAACAGAATTCAAATACACCTTTTCCCCCCACTTTCCCCCTTACCTCCAAAGGAAAACGCCGTAGGCCACGCTTGCTGGAAACCACAGGGATAAAGTGGTTTAGTTCTAGTCAAACCCAAGTATTTCAACCACATACTCATAAATCTTCATCTTAATCATAGCCACAGAGCATGAGTTTTGAGCGCTTTCCTCCCGATTTACTCAGTCAGTAAATCTCCCACAGAGAGCAAGCAGTTCCAAAGCCAGTGATGTTCTCAGCCAACACTAAACATACACAGAAATATGCAGTTACGGTAACTTTTTAAAAATGGCCTGCATTTCTGCAGTATGATTTAAACCCATAAAACATTTTTCAGTTAAGCTGGACTTTCACAATTCTCATTAGGTAATCCAGGGTGTGGCTGTTTGTAAATTTCCTCTTCACCCAAAGGAAGCTGATAGCATCAGGACATCAGGTGTATATGGAAAAATACATATTTTGATACAAGTGTAAGTCGATGCATATTTTTTAAAAATTTGTTTAAAGATCCTTTTGCCCGCGTTAGGCACAATGCAAACACGCTGCGGCCAGATTCCATAGGTTGAATTTAAATGTAGGTGTTCAAACTCGGCTTTCTGCTCCAAAAACGATGGGAGCTCAACACACTCTGTCAAATGCCCAGTCCATGGGAAACCAACCCAGCCCTCAGATGCCCCCAAAGAAATCATTCTCATCATCACTTAGATACGGAAGGACTTGACACCCAGAATCACAGCTCCCACAGCAATGGAACAGGCTCTGAATCCAGATGGCCACATTACACTCTCAAGCATTGATTTGTTAAAAATTTAACGTTAGGCATGAAACCAAAGCTACCCCTCACACCAACTGGGTAATTAAATTCCTGGCTTACGTCCGTTTCAAAATCCAAACCCAACATCAACATCTGGCAAGTCTCCATACTTGTGGGCACAAACCTTGTGCATGTGAGTGACTCCAAAAATTCAGAAGGAAGGCAAGAATGAAGATTTTTAAAAAGCCCATGGGTTACTTTTATTCTCGGTTTTTAATAACCCCTGTTGCAATTATATCCTAGCTTTTGCCTCCATGTGTCTTGAGGGCAAACGCTGATTAGAGTCACTGCAGACAATCCAGTCTGCTCTTGTCCAGGGGTCTTGATCAATACACTTTGCATCATAATCAAGCACTCCAACTGCCTCTCCACCCCAGTCCCTTTGCCTACATGGTTCATTTCTGGCCCTTAGCTAGCCCTCACCGGGCAACTCTTTTTTCTATGAATGTGCACATCTCCTGGAAGGGTGAGGGAAGGAGAGGCCAGGATTCAAACTGCATTTGTCCACAGCCCCCAGCCCCCAGCATTCTGCAGCCCCACCACCCAGTAGGGTGCGCCTCTGGCACCCCCAGTACCTGCCAAGCTCCTCGCCGGTGTCGTAGAAGTCATCCACGTTTTCCTGCCTGAACACGGTCATGATAAGCCGTCTCGCCTCACCAAAGGCCGGCGCGCTTCAGCTCCGCTTCCCACACCATCACCACCGTTCCTTCGCCTCCATGGGCCCCTCATGCATCAATCAGTCTCCGGTCCTTAAAAAAATAAATAAAAGGCAAAATTACTAGTAAAATAACAACCCAAACATACCTCGCCAGGGCTAAGACCCGCTGCTAAAGACCACTTTCCCGGAGCTGCCCCTCCCTCCCACCAGGTGGAGGGAGAGGAACGAGCACCCTTTGTTAAAACCGGGCCAGGGGCGTCCCCAGCCCCGCGTCGCCGGTGCGCTCGGGGCCGGGCACAACCGCACCCCAAGACCCGCGTCCTCCAAAAGCAGGGTGCCCTGTACTGATAAGAACCAGCTCCGGAAGTGGCCGGCTTCCCAGCCACCCCTTTTTCTGCACACACGCCCACCCAGCTCCCCACCTCCGGGGAAGAATGCAGCGGCGGCCCGGGCAGAGCGCGCCCGGCTGGACACGTCCCTCTCCAACAGGCATCGCATCGCGGGGCTCCCCCGCGCCACCTCCCGGCTCCCGCACCTTGGCCACCCCCTCCCACTCCCCGGAGCCAGACAGGCAGTCCCTAGAGGCACATTCCTGGTGATTCCCGCTCCGTTACCGAGCCGACCCGGCGCGCGCCCGCCCGCCCGCCCGCCGGGGGGAACGGTGCAGGGAAGGGAGCGGCCGAGGGAGGCGCGGCCGCCCGCCGCCGCCGGTCTGCGCGCCCCGGACACAAAGCGCCCGGCCCGCGCCACCTGTTCCCCCACCCGGACCGCAGGGCTGGGGGCGCCTCCTTCTCCCCGCAGCCAAGTTCCCTCGTCTGGGCCTTCCCGGGAGCCCGGGGCGCTGCCCCCGGCAAACCCGGCCACGCGGGGGACGTGAAAGCAAAAGCAGGCGGCGGGGCCCCGGGGGGAGCCGAGGAGCCGTGCGCGGCCACTCACCCGGCGCCCGGGAGCCGCCGCCCGAGTCCCTCCGAGCGCGACGGGAGGCCGATCGCTGGCGCCGGCGCGGAGCCGGGCGGTGGCGAGAGCGCAGGGAGGGAGCGAGCGGGGAGCGCGGAGCCCGTGCGCCCGCCCCGGCGTCTGCTCGGTCGGGCTTTCCCGCTCCGGCTCGGGAGCAGCCCCTCGGCTCCTCGCCGCCGGCTTCCGGGCGACGGGCGGCCGGCGAGCGACCAATGGGGACCCCGCGGGCGGGCTGGCGGCTCGGCCCACCCACCTCCTGGCTGTCTGGCCGACCGGCGCGGCGGATCGTGAGCTGCTGAGCAGCGCCCCGTGCTCTCCGCGGCTCCCCGCTCCGGGCTCACTGGCGCGCTCTACCGCGCACACCCCGCACCGACCCACCCACTGCACACCCCGCACCGACCCACCCACTCACACCCCGCACCGACCCACCCACTCACACCCACGCCAGGAGGGGGCGAGCGCAGCCGCGTGCCGCGTGGGCGCCCCACCTGTGACGGCCGCGGTGCTGCCCCCTTCGGCCGGGGTGCCAGAGAAATGCGACTCCTGGGTCCCGCAAAAGGGATCGCCGGCGGCGGGGTGCCGGGAAGGGTTCTCGCCACGGGAAAATCGCCGAGACCAAAATAGATTTTTTTTAAATTTTATTTTTTATTGATTTTTTTACAGAGAGGAAGAGAGAGGGATAGAACGTTAGAAACATCGATGAGAGAGAAACATCGATCAGCTGCCTCTTGCACACCCCCTACCCGGGATATGCCCACAACCAAGGTACATGTCCTTGACCGGAATCGAACCAGGGACCCTTCAGTCCACACTCTATCCACAGAGCCAAACCGGTTTCGGCCAAAATAGATTAAAAAAAAAATTATATATATATATATATATATATATATATATATATATATATATATACATATATATACTGTCCTCGTGAAACTTACATTCTGGTGGAGAAGATGCAAGCAAAATAAGATTGTTTTCGAAGAGATCAGTGCAATGGAAACAATAAAAAACAGGATAATGGGGTAGAGGATGACAAGGAGGAAGTGGGCCGCATTCGATGGAGTTTTTCCTCCAAGATAGGTGTTTTGAGCTCATGATAGCTATAAAAGGCGTGCAGCCGCTGGAGAAAAAAATGGGTGGAGGTCTCAGAGACCCAAGGTAGCAGCAGAAACCAAGGGTGTCTATGAGCACTGCCCAATACAGTCCTGGCTGTTGGTGAGTTGAAATGTGGCTAGTTCCAAATGAGGTGTGCAATAGATGTGAAATACGCATTGGGTTCCGTGATAGTAAGGAAATAAGAATGAAAAATACCCCATAAATACTTTCATATTAACCCCATGTTCAAATGGTAGTACTTCGAATATATTGGGTTAAATAAACTATATTATTAAAATTAACTTCACCTTTTACTTTTTAAAATGCGGCTATTAGAAAATATAAAAGTACCAGTGTTATATTTCTTTGGGCTGAGGTAGCCTACAGGCAGAACCCATATCTAGTTCTCTGTACTTCTTACCTACTCCATGTTTCCATGAAGCCTGCGGGTGAGGGAAACAGAAAGGACGGTTCCCCCATAGGAACTGCTAGAGATCCCCAGAGAGAGGCCCCCGCAGGGAAATCTGCCTTCCTGCCTAGAATTATAAAAAATGATACGTGAGACCTCTGAGATTTTAGATCCACAGCATTGTTCAAATTCCCAGATTTTCTAAAATGGAGTAATTTAAACTGTCCTTGTTCAACAGGAATTTTCAGCCTTCGATATTATGGGGGTGGGGGGGGGTGATGCCCCTCAGACCTTAGGTCACTCTGTCTCTTATCTAACATTTTAATGGTCCACTGGAAGGACACGTTTTTGTGAGAATCGAGGGAAGGATCTACATTTGAAGGTGGTATGAACCCAAGTGGTGAGGTTTGAGGATTAACACAAAAGGATCTTGGGAAGTGAGAAATAGTAATAGAAATAGTAATTTAATAGTAAATAAATAAATGAATGAATGAATGAATGATTCATTTAGCTGAAACCGGTTTGGCTCAGTGGATAGAGTGTTGGCCTTCGGACTGAAGGGGCCCAGGTTCGATTCAGGTCAGGGGCATGTGCCTTGGTTGTGGGCACATCCCCAGAAGGGGGAGTGAAAAGAGGCAGCTGGTCTATGTTTCTCTCTCATCGATGTTTCTGACTATCCCTCTCTCTTCCTCTCTGTAAAAAAAAAAAAAAAAAAAAAAATCAATAAAAAAATATTTTTAAAAAAGTGATTCATCTGGGGGAAATGCAAATAAATATATCTGGCACAAGGAAAATTAAAACACAGATGTTTGGCAGAAACTTGGAAAGTGCTTATGGTTGACTGCTTTATAGATAACATTTTTTTTCCTGCAAAATAAATGTGTTTTTTCAAGGCAATGAAAAATATTGGCCCCATTAGGGCACTGGCATGTCTTCCCTTCTCTATTCGACATACTGTTCACAGGAGGTTTTCTGGGGATAACGAAAAAGAGCATGGACTTGGGAATCACAAACTTGGGTTAATATTGGTGGAACCATTTCACACTGAATGACACTGGGTGTGTCACTTCACTTATTCCTGAGCTTCATGTCTGTGCTAATTTAGGCAAGCATTTTAGAGAAGGAAAATGTGGCAGTTGAAGAGCATACCCCAAAACTCAGCCAAGAAGTAGATTCTACTTCCCTTTCCCGTGAATATGACTTGGCCCTAGTGGCTTCTAAGAAAATATGATGGAAGTGATGTCCTTCCCATCACAGGCAAGGTCACACGGTGTCAGAGCTTCTGCCCGTCTGCCTCTCTGTCTCTTTTTCTCTCTCGAACCTGCACTTTTCTGGCTCTCTCCACTCACTCTGGAAGTCGTCAGCTGCCATGGTTACCCGGGGGCTGCCATGTGGAGAGATCACAGACAGAGAGAAGGAAGCCAGCTGTTCCAGCCCTGCCCCTCACCCCAGCTATTTGTGTCTTTACAGCCCAAGTTTTGTAAGCAGAATAAATGGTTGTTACTGTTTTAAGTCCTTATTTTGGGGAGGTTTGTTATACACCAATGGATAACTGATAAGGAAATTACAAGGAAAATAAGAAAACTTGACTTGTAACAATTATTTTCTCACTTATTCCTCAAATAACTCTGTAAATTAGGTTCTACACACACACACACACACACACACACACACACACACACCACACACACTTTATACTTAACCTTCTTAGTATCAGTTTCATCACCTGCAAAATGGGAGCAATAATAGGCCCTTGCATTTTCTTCAGAGTTGTTGGGAGAATCCAAAGAGATAATGCAGGAAAACAAGACTCTGTACATTATAAAAATGCATAGAATGTCAGTGTTATATTTTTCATCATGTTCCAAGCAAGAAGGGCTCTCACATGGCACATGACAACACAGTAGCCCTGAAGCTATGAGATTCAAGCTGGAAAGGACTTTCATGAAAATAACTGATGCTATAGACAACAGATTATGATCATCATGCTGATAGCTTTGAAAACAGTCTCAACTATAAAATTTAGAATTTTGTTTTATATGTAATTAGTCAGGGTAAGAAACCTACTGCTGTGAAACCCAACAGATATCGGAGGCTTGACCCATTAAAGGTTTATTTCTTGCTCTCAGCACAGATGTTTAGAGAGGGTGGGGAGTGGGCTGTACTCCAAATAGGATTCAGGGATCCAGGTTTTGCCCTCCCATAGGTCCATGGTCTCTCGGTGCGTCTGAGTTTCTCAGTTGGTCCTTTTCATCTATTGGCTGATAAGAGAAGAGAGAATCCAAGTCATACTGGCCAGGCTAGAAGTTTAAGGCTTAATCATTTGGGGGGAGTGGGGCTAGGGTGGGGAGTTTTTTTAAGATCAACGGAAGTGAATTATACTAACTCAATTAACCTCTGGGCTACTTTTTAATAGCAGGCCTTTGGCTTTCAGTAAGGGTTAATACTTTCAAATGGCTCCACGAGAAAGCTTCGGCACCCAGGGTTTTGCTGTTGGAGATATTGCCCATTATGCAAC